TCTGTGAGAGAATAAGAGAAGGATATTTAGAACTACATCAATTGCACGATGGAATATGAAGAAAGGAAATTTCCTAACACCCTATAGCCTCTCGAAGATAAGTACAGACGTCTCTATACCGATCCGCAAGACTCTATTAGGCCTACTCATAACTTGTGAGACCTACATGAACCTAGTGCTCTGATACCATGTTATCACGACCCAATTTTACCTATAAGTCGTGATGGCGCCCAACACTACATCTAGGCAAGCCAACTAATAAATTAAGCATACATTGATAAAATTTAAAACCAAGAAAATATAATAAAACCCAAACTCTACCAATGTGTGTGCCAAGACCTGGTGTCACAAGTGTATGAGCATCTAGTAGATTATACAAAACCTCAAATGATGTCTGAAATAAAAATAGACAAAATGAAAATACAAAGAGAGACACTAGTAGCTGCAGAGCGAATCAGAGAAACAGCTCACCATTATGCCCCTGGATAACGTGGGTGTAAGACGATAGGTCCCCCACTAGTACTTGCCTCAGTTCCTGCACAAAGAGTGCAGCAAGTGTAGTATGAATATGTAAACAACGTATACCCAGTAAATATCAAGCCTAATCTCGAAGTGGTAGAGACGAGATGGCTGACTTTGACACTCACTATGGATCAAAAATAATAATTGAAATACAACTATGATATTTAAATCAGCATGATTTATAGAATTTAAAATAATTTATTTAATCAGCGGAAATAATCAAATTTCTTCAAATGCAACAATTCTCAATATATTAATTAAATTCCTTCAATTCAGATAATTTCTAATTTAGCAATTAAATATTATTTACAGGAATAACAATTAATTCTTTAACAAGCAAGAATAATAATTCATTAAATTCCAAGGATTTTTCAATTTATCAATTAGCTTCGCAAGCTGAAATAAATTATTAAAGTATCGTATAATAATTATTATTATTAAGCACGATTTCTGCCGAGGACGTACGGCCCGATCCAGAGTGTCGTGTACACTGCCGAGGGACGTGCGGCGTGATCCATAGATGCATCTATCCTGCCGAGGCGTTCAGCACGCTCCACAAGAAAGGATGACATTTTCTTATGTACCTTCGGAAGGAGAGTATATTTATCATAAGATAAATTCGGGAGGAAGAACAATTTCTTTTAACAATTAATTGATTTAAACAGAAAATCAAGCATATGAGATTTTCATCCTTTAATATCTTTATCTAACAATTCACAATATATTCATATATATCAATTAATATTAATTAATCAAGGAATATAATTTACACAAGTAATTCATGCTTTGAGTCCTAAACTACCCGAACTTTAGCATTTATAGTAGCTACGCACGGACTCTCTTCATCTCGTGCGTACGTAGCCCCTACAATTAGCAACAATTATTCAATTTAATCCCTATGGGGTAATTTCCCCCTCACAAAATTAGACAAGAGACTTACCTCGTCTCAAAGTCCACTTTTCGATTCTTGCATCGCGTAAAATTCTCGATTCAATGCCGAAAAATCCGAAACTATCCAAAAGTTATATTAAATAATTAATATATGTTAAATAATTTGAAATTCATCTATTAATAAATTATCCTATCCAAAATGATAAAATTTCTAAAATTTACCCCGGGACCACGTGCCTGGATTCTGAAAATTTTCGGATAAAACGTTACCCATAATCTCAAGAACTCAAATATATAATTTCAACCCAATTCCATAACTATTTTCGTGGTTAAAATCTCATTTTTATAAGAATTTAGGTTTTTCACCTAAACCTTTGATTTCTAAGATTTACTAGTTATAATCTACTTATAATTTATGTATTTAACTCAAGGGGTGTAGAATTAACATACCTCCAAATTGCTAGTTGAAATCTCCTCTCAAAAAGCTCTGAAATCGCCCAAACATGGAAGAAAACGAACAAAAAATGGTCTGAGCTTCGTCCGTTTTAAGGTTCCGCCCAGACAGATTTTTCGCACCTGCGGAAGGTGTTCGCACCTGCGGAAAAGCCTCGCAAGTGCGAGATTTTTCCTCTTGGACTAGCTCCGCACCTACGCCCAAAGGACCGCACCTGCGCATCCGCTTCTGCGCTCAATTCTTCGCATCTGCGATGGCCGGGCAGTTCCTCCCCTTCGCACCTGCAGATGGTGGCTCGCACCTGCGAGCTCGCACCTGCGGCTGACCATGCGCATGTGCGATCATACCAGAAACTGGAAGCTTCAACTCTTCTTCAAAATTCCAAAATTGATCCGAGCCTCGTCCGGTTAACACTCGGGCCCCCCGGAGCCCCGTCCGAACATACTAACAAGTTTGAAATTATAAAACGGACTCGCTCGAACTCACGGAACGTGTAAAACAACATCAAATCTAAGAATCACACCCCAAACCAAATTGAATCAAACTTAAGAACTTCAAGTTCTTCAATTTACTTCCAATACGCCGAAACGTACTTAAACTACCCGGAATGACATGAAATTTTGCGTGCAAGTCTTAAATCACTATACGGAACTATTCCCAAACTCAGAATTCCAAACGGACTTCAATTCCTCAAAAACCTACTCCAAACCAAATTTAAAGAACTTTAAACCTTCAAATAGTTGATTTTCACTAATAAGCGTCAAAACGCTCTCGGGTTATCCAAAACCTGATTCGAATATACGCCCAAGTTTGAAATCATCATACAAACCTATTGGAATCGTTAAATCCCGATTTCGGGGTCGTTTTCTCAAAATATTGACCGAAGTCAAACTTGTCCATTTAAAGCTAACTTAAGGAACCAAGTGTTCCGATTTTAACCAAAACGCTTCCAAATTCCGAACTAACAATCCCCGCAAGTCATAAATTAATAAAAGCATGTTAGGGGAGTTTTATTTTAGGGAACGGGGTTTTAAAAGTTAAAATGACCGGTTGGATTATTACAACTATTGTATGTAAATCTCAATAATTTCTGAATATGAGAATATATCAATGTATGCTTCTCTGGATGTTCCATGTCCCTCTACAGAAATGATACCCTCTCTTAATAGAGTAGAAGAATCCTACTTTGGATATAAAAAAAAATATATAGTGGGAATCCCATGATAGATTAGTTAATTAGTTTTTCCTTAATTCCCGCCGAGATTCTCTCCCTTAGTGCGACTACAACGGCTCTTTGTCTCTTAGCTCGATCTTAGTCGGTCTTGGTCGGTCTTGGTATTGGTCGATCTCCGGATCTCGATATTGACTCGAGCTCGGGCTCTTGAGCTCGATAACACTACTTCATATCATAGCTTGATATTGACTCGAGCTCGATATTGACTCGTACTCGATATTGATCGGTCCCTGAATCTTGAGCTCGATAACCTAGCTTTACTTCTTATCTCGATGTTACAATGATGACCCTCGGTTTATCACGTTCCATTCTCGATTAATTACACGAAAGTCAAACTCGGATTTGACCGTATATATTGACCAACCAGAGTAAACTACCAAACTAGATACTACTGAAACTGAAAGAAAACCATAAGAGAAAACGCCATTTTCATTTAACAATACAATAGATAGATTTGTTTACTTAGAAGGATTATTTACTTTTTATTTACAATAATTATTTACTTTTGTCAATAATTATTTGTGGGATATGGCAATACCTTTCAAAATATCCTTTTTGGGATGGAAATTGATCAAGAAATAAAATTCCTTCTTATGATAATATCAAAAGAATGGTATACCTCTTTCCTATCCAGATGATAATAACATTTTTAAAGACATGATAATCAAGAGCTTCTGAGCTGGTGTTCAATGCAGTTTAGAATCCTACTCACATTTCGTTTGTTAATCATCAAAACGGTTTTTGCTAGGCGCAACATATCTTTAGTAATTGCCAGAATCGCTAATGGTTTCCCCAACTCTTTATTTTATATTATCACACGATATTACGACTTGAGAAGCAAACAATTTTGTTTAGACAACGATTTTCTCAAAAGCTTGAGGATTTGTTTACCCGTAAAACGGTATATTTAAATTTATTACGTGGTTTATAGACAAACGAACCGATTTGATCCCAAAATAATAAATAAATTAAATGAAAAGTAAGACTTAGCGTTGAAATCGAAAGAAATAGCAAGCCTGGTTCCGGGAGCAAGGCTTCCGAAAACAACAATAAGAATAGTATTAGACAAGAAATAAGATTATATTATTTAGCTTGATAGTAAAATGTAGCATACGTTTTTCCAGAAATTTCCTGTGTTACAATGGTTGTTGAATTCTCTGCTTATAGCTATAGACGTAGGGAACAAGGTCTTAGGATCAAGCCCCTCTTAAATGACAATAATGGGGCCCGTTGATGAATGTGTAATGGCATGCCATGAATGCCAAAATTCTCTGCAACAGCTGCATATTTAATACTGAGGAATATTGTTCATTAAGTGTCATCCGGTGACAAACATTCGTTTGCCTTCGTTATGTTCTCTTCGGGAGCTACCCGGTGTCAACTGAGGTTGTCGTCCTCGGTCTTGATTTCCATTCACTTCATCTTCCGTCTGTCTCCAATTTCACGAGTCATGTAATCATTCAAACATTTAATAAAAACCAATTTTAGCATATACACCGTTATAGGTCGTGATTATGCTCTTGAGCGTGGGGGCTCTGAACAAAACTGACGAGCTTTCAATGCTGAGAAAAGCCACGTTAACTATATCAAAGTTTTGTGAAGGCATGCCAAAATTAAACCTCCTTTTGAGAAGGTGAAACCTTTAATTATATGTTAAGATTCGTATCAGGTCATTGTAAGATATCCTATTCACATTACTATATTTGTCAGACCATATGATAAAGAGGAGGTTATGAACTTATGATTTGCAAAGTTTTTAATAAAGTGGACAAAATATAGACGGTGGAATTGCCGTATTTTTATGGTTTAGGTTGTGCAAAGGTTTTAAAAAAGGGAATAAAACATAAATATTGGCCTTTTTAATATAGTACTAGTATATATTTTTCTGGTTTAGGTTGTCTCCTATTGGGCTTCAAGCACATATTTATCTCTTAAATTACCTTATTAAAGCATAAACATATACGTACCCTACAAGCCTTCTTTTCCTCCAAAAGCCCTACAACTTCTCTAGGGTTTATTAGTAATATCTTTCTAGTTTCAGCATATCAAAATTTTGCTAATGGATTCTGATTATGATATTTATGATATGGATTCTGAGCCGGAGCCAGAAGAGGAAGATTTTTTCAGTGATGAACCAATTATCAACTCACATAATCAGAAAGATTACACAATTTTGAAGGACACTGATATTCATCAACTGATCAAAGACGATATATCGAAAACTACAACGATTCTTTCGGTCAAAAGAGACGTCGCTTTGGCTCTTCTTCGCCATTATAATTGGAACATGACTAAAGCTAACGAAGAATGGTTCGCTAATAAACTCGAGGTTAGTAAGGCTATAGGTATGTTATTGGAGAAAGAAGAAACTACGTCTTTGGATTCTAATCTTGTGAATTGTGGTATCTGTTTTGAGGAATATACTGTTGATAAGATTGCTTTTGCTGCTTGTAAACAACATCCTTTTTGTAAGGGATGTTGGGAATGTTACATTAGCACGTCAATTAATGATGGTCCTAAATGTCTTGTTTTACGTTGTCCAAATCCATCTTGTAATATGATGGTAGGTGAAAGTATGATTGTTAAGTTGGCATCTGATAAAGATAAATTGAAGTATTATGATTATATGTTTAGATCTTATGTTGAAGAAAATAGGAAGATTAAGTGGTGTCCTGCCCCTGGATGTGAATATGCGGTGGAATTTGAAATTGGGAGTGAAAATTATGATGTGATTTGCGATTGTTCGAATGATTTTTGCTGGAATTGCTTGGACGAGATTCATCGCCCGATTGATTGCAACACTATAGAAAAATGGAAAAATAGGAATTTTGAAGAAGCTGCGAATACGAAGTGGATTTTAGCTTTCACTAAGAAATGTCCCCAGTGTAATAAATCCATTGAGAAAAATAAGGGATGTATGCATATGACTTGTGTGTGTTATTACCAATTTTGTTGGCTTTGTTTGGCAAAATGGGATAGTTGTATTGGTGGATGTAATGGTTTTGAGGAAAACAAAGAGGTAAAAGAAGCCAAGAAAAATATTCTAAGGTACACACATTACTATGAGAGATGGGTGTCAAATGAGAAGTCAAAACAACAGGCTTTAAAGGATTTAAATGAGATGAGAAACGAAGGAGTGAAAAAGCTAAGTGAATTACACTCTTTACCTGAGACTGAATTGGAATTCATTATACAAGCTTGGCAACAAATTGTTGAATGTAGAAGAGTCTTGAAATGGTCTTATGCCTATGGATTTTATTTACCAGAAGAGGACAAGGTGAAAACACAATTTTTCGAGTACTTACAAGGGGAGGCAGGGGCAGATTTAGAGCGACTTCATCATTGTGCAGAGCAAGAATTATTGGATCATCTCGGATCTACCAAGAAATTGGATTATACAGAGCAAGGATCTTACAAGAATTATGAACGTTTTCGTTCGAAACTTATTGGTCTGACTAAGGTTACCGGAAATTACTTTGAGAAGTTGGTTACTGCCTTAGAAAATGGGCTCAAAGATGTGAATTCAAAAGAATACAAGAGAAAAAGGGAAATACCAATGAGTAACATTACTGTTGATGATTCAAGCATGTGGGCATGTGACAGGTGTAGTTTCTTGAATGCAGATTATTATACTGTTTGTCAAATGTGTGTGGTAGATTGAAGAAAATTTAATCCACTTAATGCAACCATGAGTTAGTCAGAGTATGAGAATAATAGTATTAGTTACTGAATTTAGAAGAGGTATTTTTTTTCTTTGTTTTCCTTAACAAGTTGGTCGATTGATTATAGATTAGTAATCTAAAGATTGGACCTTTTCTCAATGTCTTTTATGCAGAATTTGTTTTCATTTAATATCATTTGTTTCAGTTATGATTATGTTAAATTTTGTTTGTTTAATTTCTATCTTCTTCTTCCAGGCTTGTTTTAGATGGATGCATTTTTATTGTATGAATGATAGGGTTAATTACGGTCAAACATCTCTATAACAGTCTCGTTTGGTCCGAATAGTTTTTGATGTTATAGCGAAGTGTTGTTATAGAGAACATATATTATAACATAATATAAAAATTGGTTCCGAAAAAGCTTGGCTTTTATAGAGAAGTGTTGTTATATATGAATGCTATTATAGAGAGAGATGACTGTAATACGAGAAAGAAATGGACATTAATACGCAAGATACCAAGGAACAATGCATGCATAGTATTTATTTTAAGAAAAGCTCAAGTTTTATCCAAATAAGTCACTACTAGGATTTTAAGTGGTATATTTTTACACATAATTTAATACGTGTGCTTATATAATTAGTACACCTATTGTTTTAAGGGTAAATCATAATTAATCATCCCTAGTTTTACAAAGATTGTTTTACTCACTGTTTTCCCTTTCCATACGTAAAGTCGAAAACTAATAATTTAAGTGATTCAAAAAGTCATTTTTTCAAAGGCTAGTATTTAAGCATTGAAGTTTTGTGCTTAAAAGCGATAACTAGGAAAATCTCCCGAGAAGGATTCGAACCTACTATCAATCGGTTAACGGCTGACCGCTGTATCACTGAATTAATGAGGAACAACGGACTTAATGTTGGAAGCCGACTTTCGTTCTTTGGACCAACCTATGGCCGAATAAAAAAGAGTATGTCACTCTTTTTCACATACACCAAGAGAAAATATTACGATAGCAAGCCCCTCCCCACCCGGAGAGCCTCCGGGATAGGAAGATGGCGATATACAACCATCCACTCTCGAGATTCATTTTGATCAATAAATTTACGCATCCCGCCAGTCGCTAAGTAGAATGACTTTACGGAGGGATAACAAAGGCTGGGACTCTTCCTACCAAAAATAAGGGAGCTAAGTAGAATGACTTTACGGAGAGATAACAAAGGCTGAGACTCTTCCTGACAAAAATAAGGGACCTACTTCTCATCGTAGGAGTCTCTCAGGCTTCTACTAAGTACTAAATAGCACTTCTGCTATTCGAATTATCAAATAATTAAATCGAGAATGGAAATGATATAATATTCACCTTTTCGTATGTATGGTGGGAACAATGATTCAACATTCGCTTTTCTAGAAATCCCATACTCACAGCTCCATGTTTTCTTCCACAGTGCATATTGGATTTCAATATAGGGGTTTCCCCTCTCTCTTTTGGCATAAAATTACCTAAATACTATTCGATCGAGTGATATTTAATGCTATGTTTCCTTGAAGATGCATATTTTATTGTTTTTTTTTTTCAAAAATATATTGTGAACTATATATCTTTTAATATTTTGAATGGAAATAAAGTCAATAAGGAAATGGATATTAAAATAAACAGTTATTAGTAGAAGACAAACAAAACCAACATCTTTAGATATTGTTTGTCGCTGAATTATTGTTCGGTCATTACTTAGAATAATAGTACTATATTCATAACTACGTTTGTTCACACGCGACAATTAGTCATACTTTGATTGTCCACGGGCATCGATCTTGTCCCAAAATTTCTCTTACGCACATGTTAAATACCGAAAAAAAATATTATACATTCAAAACTTTTAAAAGCTTGTTTATTACACTTTTATGGGGACAAGGTCGAAGTGTGATATTATTCTCGTGTTTATCTTTCGTACTTTTATGGAGTCTTAAATAATTTAATTTTCTGATTCTGTTTCTTGAAAGAAGCTAAAATTTATAGTTTACCAAAAATAAAAATATTACTTGTGTTGTTAATCAAAAGCACTTTTTTATTTTGGTCAAACATCTCAAATTTTTTAAAAAGTACTTTTTAATTAAAAAATAATAATAATTGCTTCTTAGAAGATTGACCGAACATGTTTTAAAACTTTTAAAAAGTACTTTTGGCATTTAAAAAAATATTTTATATATATATATATATATACACACACCGAATGTAAACGTTGTCTGTAAACATGGGATTAGTTAGGTACAATATGTTCTGTTGGGCTTTACTTTTGGATAAATTTCTCCGGTAGTTTTGTTCCCGTTTGGTCATAGATTTTGACTTCATTTTTTCAAAAAAATTTTGAAAACAATATTTGTTTATGAAATATGATCATATTTTGGGGAAAAATTTCAAAAACCTTCAAGTTACCAAAGCGTTTGACTATACATTTCCAAATTTGTTTTAAAAAATCTGATTTGGGTGAATTTTGATTTGAAGATGAAAATTTGTTTGGACATAGTTTTCAAAATATATTTCACTTTTTTTTTTTTGAAAAACATGAAAGGTAACTTATACGCATAAGTTCTAAAAACTATCAAAAATACCCAACAATACCAAACAAATAAACTTGTTAATCCTGTATATGCATAACCTTCATCGATGCCATTCATTATCATTATCACAAACCATAGTCCTCAACATTGATAAGTTTGGCACAAAATTATCATTTTTATAATAAACTACATAATATACTATCCTAAAACCATAACATAATATTTTAATTTTAACTACTAATAACACAATTACTAGCTACTACAATTCGTCAAATTACAATAATATTACAAGATTCATCGGTCCCACAAAAATGCTACTGTAACTGGCTGGTGGATTAGTTGGGTGCATAGATGGTGGACTTTTTTTTTATAAAATATAAAAGTTTAGGGTAATTTTTAAAATTATTAAAAAATTTAACAGTAATATTTTTGGGCCAAAAAGAGGTGTAGAGCTAGTTTTGAGATTTAAAAATTTTATTTTCAAAATCTGTCAAGATATGAAGAAAATACAGGTTTTGACAAATATATTTTGTAAAATATTTGGCAAAATCTATGACCAAGAGAGGTTAGAGTAATTTTGGGTAATTTGTTTTCTCACACCAACAAAACTTTTAACTTTTTTTCCCAATAAAATACATGTAGAAACTTAACACTTTAATTTTCAAAAAATATTTTTAGCTCGTCTCTTTCCCCTCTCAAAATCCTCTCTCTTCACTTGTTCTTTCGGCTGCCAGATGCCAGGTGAATGCACCTGAGACGAAGAGAAGACAAGAGTCAACTATTTTGAAGCTCTGCCTTTTTGTTTTCTTGGCTCCAAAGAGTAAGGCCAAGTCAAAGAGAAATATTAAAATTCTCAACTTGGGATTTCTCCACAGCTGTAAGGGCTTGTCATTTCATTACATTGCAAATGTATGAATAACAAAATGGAAAATCAAGAATTGTAATACAATTTGAAATTTCCACACCTACATTTATTCGCAAAATCAAGCACTCGAACTTGGCATTGGGAAGAAGAAAATAAAAATGGTGAATGCAAACTTGGGGTTTCTGATGAAATTCACTAATTTTTTATTTGCTTCTTACTTTTTCTATTCATTATTGAAACCTTCTATCTGAGATCATTCTCTTTCTTTTTATGAAATTATCCTTTGTTTGTTTATATGTAAGAGATTCATGCTTCAAGTTTGTTATTTTTGTTTTTTAGAGTGAATTTAGAGAATCAGGAATTAATTTCTCTCTCAGAGCACCTAGTTAAAAGCTACTGTTAACAATATTCAATGACCAACTGGAGGAACTGGAGAGATCCTCCTCTGGAAGTATAATTCAGTTTTGTCTGCTGTTAATGTCACAGAAACGCCATTCTCACAAGCTCCATAGTCCACTCTCTCAGTACAGTAATGAATATTAGCGAGTTGACTCAGTTCCAGAAGGCCCAGATGAAGGCGATTCTTGGGCCTGACTCTAGTGTTCCTTTTGAAACCTTTATCTCGGATCTCATGGCGAGCTCCTCTGAGGCTGAGTCAATGTTGGACATGATCAAGCAGGAGGATTCGAACTTGCTTGCTGTTAAGCTTGCTAACCTTCTAGACTCTCCCCATATCACTGATGATTCACGCGCTACGTGTGCTATCGTCCTCCAAAATTTGTTTGTTGGGGATGATGGATATGGTTGGCGCAATCTAAGTCTATCGACTCGGTCCGGTGTGCAATGTATCCTTCTGAACCGTATCAAGATTGAAGAATCAAAATCCATTATGCAGACCCTTTACATTACGCTTTGTGTAAGCCTCCAAGATAACAAGGAGTCTGAAATATGTAGCTTGTTCGGCCAATATTATGACAACTCCAGTTATATCAAGGTAGTAGAGTTTACTTTGTCATTAGTTTCCCAGTGCGCCAAACAAGGAGATGATTTATCATCAGCCCCTTGGATCAAGGATATGTTACTAGGTGCACTGAATGGTTGCAGTGATATGAGATTGAGGATGGCGGCACTGAGGGCAGCGATCGACATCATTCAGTGCCTCTCTAGTTCAAATGATAAAGACTGGTATCAGGGTTTGTTGCCAGCTTTGTTGGGGACCTTGACAGAAGCATTGAGCAAAGGTGAGGAGGTTACTGCCAGGGAAGCGCTGGAACATTTTGTTGAGTTTGCTGAGAATGAACCTAGGTTCTTAAGGATGCAACTAGTAGAAGTGGTGGCTACCATGTTTGAGATAGCAGAGAATGTGAGTTTGGAAAAGGAGACGAGGCACTTGGCGATTAAGTTCCTGATAACTTTAGTTGAGGCGAAAAAGGAAGCTCCCGGCATGATGAAGAAATTACCATTATTTACTAGCAACTGTTTTGCTATGTTATTGAAGTTGTTACAAGATGTTGAGGACGAACCACCTTGGAACAATATCCACAAGGTTGCATTTAGGGAATATGGTAACATTATGGTTGGGATCTGCTATTTTGATCGCTTGTCTCGTGCATTAGGTGCTAAGACTATTGCTCCTGTTGCTAAAGAGCAGCTCTCTGCTTGCTTGGCTGCCCCTGACTGGGAGAAACGCCATGCAACACTTCTTGCACTTGCTGTTATTTCTGAATGTTGCCCGAAGGTACAAATGATAGAATCTATATTACTCCATTCTTAGTTGTTTATTTGTTCCTATGGTGTTAGTTTGATCTTTATGCATACTATTTTGACATGTCCTCTGTAGTCTTTAGGAGTCTATATTTTTTATTTTGTTTCCCTCAAGCTATGATTTATAAATATTTTTAATTAGAAGATATTATTTTACAGAAAATTTTGTCTAATTTCTAAGAATATAACTTTTATGTCAAAAGAATTAAGAAACTCAATCTAATTTATACTGAAATTTTCTAAGTCCTTCGTCTCCTAAATTCTGGGACGGAATGGTAGCATTTAAGAGGTGCTTTTGCTGGCGAACCAGCTACTAAAATTTGTATACAAAGATACTCTGCCCCACATGCCCCTATTCTCAATCCAAATGTGTTTTATTGGCCGAGGTTATCTTTTCTGGTTTTCTCTCTCTCTCTCTCTCACTCCCCCCCTGGTGGTTAGCTAGGTTGAAGTTTGAACCCGTGTCCTTTTTGCTATTATAGGTGATGCTTACGAGTATGGAGGAACTGGTTCTGAATTATTTCCTGAACATGGTTCTGGATTGTTTCCAAGATCCTCACCCTCGAGTAAGATGGGCCGCTATTAGGGCAATTGCCTTGTTTTCGACCTTCTTCTGTCCACAGTTGCAAGAACAATTCCATGATCAAGTATTACCTGCATTAGCTGCAGCTATGGCTGATTTTCAAAATCCAATAATACAGGTTTTGTCCTATGCTGATATGAACTCTTTACTGATGCTGCAATTTCCCAAATGCAATTTCAATTATCATTCATACAGGGAACAATTTTGCGAACAATCGGCAAAAATTCTAGCTAGTGCACTTTTACAATGGCATTACATATACCATACAGTTGAACATCTCTAACTTTGTATAGGTTTACTCCCTGTTTGATTTTTGCGATTTTGTTGTTATCCACCAGTGAAAATATTTAATTAATTTACTTTGTTACTCTAGTATGTTTGACTGACGAGAATCATGGGCTTAAGACATAATTTAAATAACATCTTTAGTGCAGCGGCAAGGGGATATAGAAAAATGTTTAAATTTCAAAACTAAGTTTTAATTCTGTCAAGGGGATTCAACAATTGTTTTTGAGAAGTAACATATTGTATGTATTAAACACAAAACAGTACATGGGTTATACTGAAACCAAATATACAAGTGTGCAAAAAGAGTAAATCAGTCTACATTTCTAACAGGAACCTAATGTGTCTAAGATAGATATAGTATCCTCTGGGTAGATCTGATTGCACCAAAAACAAAAAAGCTTAATACAGTTAAGTTTGATCTTTTGCAACGTGTTCTCGAAATATCTAGAGTTCCTTTCTTTCCAAATTGTCCACCAAATATAAGCAAGGACCATCGTCCATTTGTTTTTGTTATCTGCCCCAGCTCCAGTTGCTTCCCAACTAAAGAGAGCTTCAGTAATCTTTCTAGGCATTGTCCAAGCTATGCCTCTGAGATTAATGACGATCTTCCGCAACTGATCAGTTAACCTACAGTGCAAAAATAGATGACCAACTGTTTCCACTTCATTTTCACAAAGAAAACATTTTGAGCATAGAGTCCACTTCCTCTTATTTAAGTTTTCATGTGTAAGCACAACTTCCTTTGCCAGTAGCTGTGAGAAACATGCAACCTTATATGGTTTCTTGGTCTTCCAAATATGTTTTCATGGCTAGTTGGTGACTTGAGGTATTGGTTGGTTTATCGTTTTGTAGGCTGCATTGACACTGAATTTTTCACTACTATGTCCCTGCCATCTCAATGTGTCATCTCCATTCTGAATTCCTGTGAAGTTGTCTAGTTGTTTGTAGAATTCAATCATTCTATTTATCTCCCAATCATTCAAGTCTCTTCTGAGTATTAATTAGATCTCTGTTGGTGATGAGCTAGAGCATATATGTCAGAGAATAAATCCTTCAGAGCTCCATTCCCCAACCAATTGTCATTCCAGAATGATGTCCTGCTACCATTGAGCACTTTAATAGAGACTTGGTTTTTAAGAGCTGGCCATAATACCCTTATAGACCTCCAAAGACTAACTCCATAGGCTGTGTTAACTGGTTTAGTCATCCAGTTGTCCTCTACTTCATATTTGGCTTTGATTACCTTGATCTATAAACTTTGAGGGTCTTGAGAGTACCTTCATAACCACTTTAGTTTGAGGGCTTTGCTGTGATTGTTCAAGTTTCTAATTCCCAATCCACCTTGAGCTTTGCTGAGAGTTACCTCTTTTCACTTGACCAGGTGATAGGCCTTTTTTTCTTTTTTTCCTTGCCACAAAAAATTCCTTCTTATGCTATCCAACCTTTGAACGACTCCCACAGGAATGGGAAAAAGGGACATCATATAGGTTGGCAGTGAGTCTAATACCGAGTTAATCAGAGTGAGCCTTCCTCCCATTGACAAATATTGACATTTATCTTGAGAGCTTTTTCTCAAATTTCTCCAATACATTGACTTGGCCCCCAGTGGCATAGTCCCCACTTTTTTCCCAAGATCAGTGCCAAATCCTCCATGTTTGTTACTTCATTGATCGGGAAGAGATGACTACAACAACAACAACAACATACCCAGTATTATCCCACAACGTGGGGTCTTGGGAGGGTAGTGTGTACGCAGACCTTACCCCTACCTTGTGAGGATAAAGAGGCTGTTTCCAATAGACCCTCGGCTCAGGAAAGTCGGGAAGAGATAACTCTTCCTCCAATTAATATGCAGCCCAGAAATACCTTAAAAAAGAACCAGTTTAATCCTCAAGACTCTTAGTGGGCGTTTGGACATAAGAATTGTAAAATTCCAAAAAAAAATAAAAAAAAATTTCAAGTGAAAATGGTATTTGAAAATTAGAGTTGTGTTTGGACATGAATATTATTTTGGGTTGTTTTTGAAGTTTTGTGAGTGATTTGAGTAAACTTTGAAAAACAGCTTTTTGGAGTTTTTCAAATTTTCGAAAAATTCCAAAATTCATCTTCAAGTGAAAATTGGAAATTTTATGGCCAAACACTAATATTTTTCGAAAAAAGTAAATTATTTTTTATCTCCAAACGGGCTCTTAGTTGTTCCACTTCTGCATCACAGAAGATCAAGATGTCATAAACATATTGAAAATGTGTAATCTCCTGATTGTTATGTCCATTCATGGCTACCTCAAAGCCTTTAATCCACCCATTGAGTTTGGCTGTTTTGATCATGTTGTTCAAACCTTCCATGGCTATTATAAAAAGAAAAGGTGACAAGGGATCACCCTGCCTGAGACCTCTTTGAGTAGGAAAGAATCCTTCTGGAGAACCATTAATAATAGACTGAGAATTTGACAGTAGATTTTCATCCATTTAATCCATTACACTCCAAATCTCATTTGTTGTAGCATGCATAGTAAGAAATTCCAATTCACATGGTCAATTGCTTTCTCAATATCTAGCTTGCAAAGGATACCAGGTTTCTTCTGTTTTTGTCTTGGGTCTACTGCTTCATTGGCTATTAGTATGACATCCATTATTTGCCTGCCTTTTATGAATGCCATTGTTGAGAATCTATCATTTTTCCTATCACCCTTTTCAGCCTCTCAGTCAGGACTTTTGCAATAATCTTGTAATTGCTCCCTATTAGGCTTATAGGCCTCAAGTCCCTCAATTCCTTTGCACCATTCTTTGGGGATCAAGGCAATGTAGGCTGCATTGAAATTCTTTTCAAATAAACCATGGGAATGGAAATTGTAAAACACCCCCATGATGTCATGTTTAAGCACCTCCCGACACATAATAAAGAATCCCATTGTAAAGCCATCAGGTCCTGGTGCCTTGTCCATAGCACACGATTTCAAACACCCAAAAACTTGTTCATCAATCTGCTTTGTAGTAAGTTCTTTACTTGCTCAGTTATTGTCGGACAACTCCATTCTTCAGTCTCAGTGTAGAGGTTTTTGTAGAAACTTATTATCTCAACAATTTATATTTATACAAAAGTTTGTTTTTATCTTTTTCGCACAAATATTTTCCAACAAAGGGGATTCAATTGAACTCCCTCACTAAAGGTAGCTATGCCCCTGCTTTAATTGTATGTATGAGGTTTGGCTCTATACCAGACCACTCGTCCTAATGCGTTATGCTTTAGATCTTGTGGTCTTGATGTAATTTTCTGGATACTTTGATAAATCTTATGGTTATATGTATTTGCACTGTACTTGTTCTTGATATGTGGTCAGCGGTCATTTGTGCTTTTCTGCAACGTGAGAGAAATGCTGCTGCAGAATAAACCAATTTCAAAATGGGATAACATGCTCGATAGGGCATGAGTTCTAGTATCACAAGCGTTTAATGTTTCCGAAACTTGTCCTCCAGAATCTTGAAAAAACTAATACTTGTTAGTTACCTAACTTATAGGCTTAGTAGGGTGCTGCTGGAAAGTTGATTTTATTAATTTATCTTGCTTACCTTGAGGGCTATCTTGCTGTTGGTTAAAAGAAAGTGGAACAACTTTGATATAAGAGACTAGAAAGTAGTAATAATCTTTTCTGTTAACCAACAACACGTGTGAAAATGCCAAGATTAGTATTGTTAGTTTACAGATATGTATAGTGTAATTTTGTCCCACATTGGAAGAGGAGTAATATCTCCTTGTAGTGTATAGCTATAAATAGGGACCTCTTGTATTGTATTTATCATCCAATATCAATAACATATTTTATCCCGTGCCTTCTCACATGGTATCAGAGCATTAGTGAGAAAAGATCGTTGTGCGTCATTCCAGCGTTAACCGGGAAGAAAGAACTTAGTCATCGTGCAATTTTTCCGGTGACCTAAGACTTGTCTAAGTGAAAATCACTTTCTGTCAGTGTTGTGCTAAAACCAACACCACCACGAGGTAGATCACCCTCCGATGACCAACCCCTGAAATTTTATCCGGCAGAAAAGCCGCCACGCTCCTCTACGCGCCGGCAACAACAACTTTTCCGGCGAGGGTTCCGGCCACTTTCCGCCATTTTTTCGCGAAGCTTCTTCAGGACAGTGTGCTCTCCTTAAAATTCCGAGCCTACCCATCTAATTCAAATCAAATTCCAACTATTTTTATATTTTTCCGGCATGAACAGTGACCTTTCCGGCCAATTTTTGAAAACATTTCTTCAGGACAGCTTGCTCGCAAAGGAATTCCGAGTCTATCCATCCTGGTTACGACAAATTCCGACAACTTTGGAATTTTCCGGCGAGCTATAGTGTTTCCGGAGTGAACAGTGTTTCCGCCACAGAACAATGTTCTGTTTTCCTGCTGTAAACAGTGTTTTTCAAGCTGTTTTTTCAGTTTTCTCACAGGAGTTACTTATTTTCACTATATAAAGTTAACCCTACTACTACAAATTGTAGCGACATGGGAACCAATCCTTTGAATAGTCGGATGGTTTCTTTAGCAGAGTATATTGAGTTCCTTCAGTATAAAGCATGTAAGCAGACATCTTCTGAGATAGCTTCTGTTGTTCAAACAGGTAATAGCGTGACTTGTTTCTCCCAATCCTCATCCTCTGAGTCTTGGGTCATTGATTCAGATGCATCAGATCATATTTCTGGTAACAAATCTCTTTTCACTACTAAGTCACAATGGCCAATGGGTCTCAAACCATGGCAACTGCAATAGGTCAAGCAAGCCCACTTCTTTTCTTACCTTTAGATTCAGTCCTTTATGTTCCCAATAGTTCTTTT